CCTAAACCCTAAACCCTAAACCCTAAACCCTAAACCCTAAACCCAAGCCCAGGTGTACAAAGATGGGCACTGCTTCGCCACCTCCGCCAAGAAGGTTCGAACCGCTGCCCCAGAAAAAACTCCGGCACCCCACCCCCCCCCGGCCCCAAATTAGGGTTTTGGGTTTAGCGCTTAGGGATTAGGGTTTAGGGTTTAGGGGTCTAGAGACTCCAGTACCCGTTTTTTGCGGTCTAGGCTTAAGGGATTTCAAGGGTTATATGTCATGTTCCAGCGGGGTTTGGGGAAGCAATTTTGGGCTTAAGGAGGAGGGCGCCTACTTCAAGGCCACCACGCACATCAACAAGCAAGGTCGCTGAACGTTGAATGCCAATTTTAAGCAGACCGAAGCCACAACCCTCCTGCCCCCAAACAAGTTCTTTTGGGGTTTAGAGTTTGGGGTTTGGGGTTTAACTCGGGTTTAGGGCTAAGGCTTAGGATTGTTTAGCGCTTCGAGGCTTTATTGGGTTGTTTAGGATGCCTGAACCCTGAACCCTAAACTCGTGAAGCCAGACCCACCATCCCCAAGCGAACTTGCGAGGATGAGGATGCCGACAAGAAGGGCGGGAAGAATGATGGAGACCTGGCGGAGAATTGAGGGTTTAGGGTTTAGTGTTTAGTGGGGTTTAGGGTTTAGGGCTTAGGGTTTAGGGTTTAGGGTTTAGGGCTTAGGGTTTAGGGTTTAGGGTTTAGGGAGACCGTGAACCCTAAGCCCGTAAACCTCTGAACCCTAAGACCCCCTCAAGCGCAGCCTCTGGCAACTCGGCCCGCGAGCTAATTGCCTCCAAATCAGAAAGCTGCCAGCTTGTTGGGTTTAGGGTTTAGGGTTTAGGGTTTAGGGTTTAGGGTTAGGGTTCAGGGTTTAGGGTTTAGGACTTGGGGTTTCGGGTAGTTTGGGGCGCAGGGGGGGGTGAGTTAGCCAGCGACGGCCGTGTCCATTTTCTCACCCCCCCCCCCCCCCCCCTCACCCCTAGGCCGTATCATAGGCCCGCACCCAGCCTCTTGCACGAGAACCCTGAAAAGATCCACCAGCCCTAAACCCGAAACCCTAAACCCGAAACCCTAAACCCCAAACCCTAAACCCTAAACCCTAAACCCTACATGCTGACATCGCTGCTGCACATCCGCTGCTTCGATGGGTTTAGGGTTTAGGGTTTAGGGTTTAGGGTCGTTTGCCACATTACTTTGCTCCTCGGCCAGCACACTGCTCCGAGAGATCCACCAGAAACCCAACCAGCCGGAACTATTCCGGGCCAGACCCTTACACAAAACCCCCGCGACACACCCTCCAACACTCCAACACCTCAGCCAGACCTATTCTGGGCCATCCTTGTTACCCAGAGTATGCCCTTATTCCCCTTCTCTAGTAATTAGGATGCCGTGTAGGCCCCTTTAAACCAACAAGGGCCCCCCTTTCATTCCTGTCTGGCAGTTATACCCCCCCCCCCCCCCTCCCAAAAAACGCATAGAAAAACTCATGGTGCCCAACCAACCTCTAAGTGTTTAGGGTTTGGTTTAGGGCTTAGGGTTCAGCATCTCAAGTCCAGGCTTTCGCTAGTCAAGCAGTGTGTTCCGAAACAAGACAACACCCACTTACCCAGAGAGTTCCACAACATTAAGACAGACTTAAAGCCCAGAGGGTCCATGTACACACATAGGGAAGGAATACTTGGGCCTTAAAAGTACCTCCTATGCAGGGACTTTTGGGCCCCCGTACATAATAATGAGGTACATTGACCCTCGGGGAAGTTTTCTCTATGGGTTTAGGGTTTAGGGTTTAGGGTCATTCCCTAGTAGGCCCAAGACTCCACAGCCCCAAGCCCAGTAGGCCCCAAACTCACAAGCCCAGGGCCGACCGTTGGCCCAAGCCCGAAAGCCAAGGCCCACGGACCCTATAAACCCAGGGTTTAGGGTTTAGGGTGTAGGGTTTAGGGTTTAGGGTTTAGGGTTTAGGGTTTACAGTAACCCTAGGCCCTAAACCGTAAACCCTACAGCCTGGCCCCCTAAACCTGGGGCCGCGGAGCCCTTAAGCCCACTGAGGATATATGTCTGCACACTGCTTCGAAGAGGCCAAGTTTCGAAAGTACCGGCCCCTTGTCTGGACTGAGCAAAGCTCCACTTTGGGGGCCTTAGGGTTTAGGGTTTTAGGGTTTAGGGTTTTAGCGTTTGCCTTCAACCCTAAACCCTAAACCCTAAACCCTAAACCCTCTTTCAAAGGCGGGCTTCAGGGTTCGGGGTCTAAGTTTCAGGGCAGAGGGCTGCCAGATCTTGGGGCTTCAGCGAGGGCTTCAGGGTTAAGGGTTTAGGGTTAGGGTTTAGGGTTCAGGGTTCAGGGTTCAGGGTTCAGGGTTTAGGGTTTAGGGTTTAGGGTTTAGGGTTTAGGGTTTAGGGTTTAGGGTTTAGGGTTTAGGGTTTAGGGTTTAGGGTTCGGGGGTTACTTCAGGGCCAAGGGCAGCTCGATGGTCCCTGAATGCCCCTTACCTTCTTTGAAGGGTTCTGACCCTAAACCCTAAACCCTAAACCCTAAACCCTAAACCCTAAACCCTAAACCCTAAACCCTAAACCTTAAGTATGGGCCCTTGGGTATACAAGGGGCATGTAAGGGGTCCCCAATTAAGGGCCCATATTGAAGGACCATGAAACTATACGAAGGTCAGGGCTTCAGGTGTTGGGGCTTCGAACCCTCAGTTTTTTTTTTTTTTTTTTTTTTGGGGGGGGGGGGTTTCGGGTTTTATGGGAGTCAGAGTTGAGTTGGGTCTTGGAGGGATCCTAGCGGTCCTAGCGTTCTTAGGTCCCTAAACTCCAGTCCTCCCCGAAACCCCAAACCCTACACCCTACACCCTACACCCTAAACCCTAAACCCTAAACCCTAAACCCTAAACCCTAAACCCTAAACCCTAAACCCTACACCCACTCTCCTTCCATCCGTCCAGGCTCAACGTGGGGCAGAATGCGGGAGCCCACTTCTGGTGCGCCGAGGCGCCGTGCCCCTGCACCCTAAACCCTAAGCCCCTAAACCCTAAACCCCTTTTCCCTAAATTACCCTAAACCCTAAACCCTAAACCCTAAACCCTAAACCCCCTACAGCAAGGCCTGCCCCCAGGCCCCCCTCTTAAACAAAAAGAAGGGCCATCGTGTAGCTTCCAGAGCTTCTAGGGTTTGGGGGTTTAAAGTTTAGGGTTTAGGGTTTAGGGTCTTAGGAGTTTAGGTGTCCAGGGGCATTGCCCCCTAGACCCTAAACTTGAGCCCTAAACCCTAAAACCTAAACCCTTTAATTAGGGGTTACGCAATTCGGGTTTTTAAGAGTGTCTGCTTTTGGGGGGCTAATGGCTTCAGACTTTGTGGGTTTAGGGTCTAGGGACTAAGGATGCGGGCTGAGGGGTTCAAGTAAGAAAGAGTTTTAGGGTTTAGGGTTTAGGGTTTAGGGTTTACAAGCTTCAGGTCTGAAACATTCAGGGCTGTAGGGTTCAAAGGGCTTACCCTTTACCCTTGTGGGGTTTCATACGACACATCCACATGGAATCAACAGAGGTCATCCAAGTTCTATCCCAGACGGTTAAACCGTTAAACCCTAAACCCTAAACCCTCTAAGGCCAAATTCCTGAGACCTTTTTTGCGCCCCCGATTCGGTTCTTGGCTCAAAGCTTGCACGGCTCTGAGGTAGGGGGAAGGCGCTGCCCGTGTCTGTAGTCTAGTTTGTGGGTTTAGGGGTTGGAGCTTACGGTTCTGCGTCTCTTGAGGTTCCAACGTGTTCAAGCACATGCTGCGGCCATGCTACAAATCTAGAGAGCTTCTGGTGAAGAACTGGTCAGCATACCTCTGGAGGAGGTCGACGAGGCGCAAGCTCTGATGAAGAGCCGAAGCTGACATCCTACACCCTAAGCCCAACCCGAAACCCTGAACCCTAAACCCTAATCCCTAAACCCCAGCCCATACAAGGGGGACGTTGGGAGTGGTGGAGTGCAGAGGAGCTAGTAGAGGATACTGCGACTTATGCTCGCATCGGCCCCGTGTTTTCTTTCCATGTGCCCTAAACCCTACCAACCCGAAAAACCCTAAACCCTAACTTTAGGGTTTAGGTTGTTTTTGAAAAAAGCACATGAACAAATTGAGTGTTGATTTTTGGTTGCCCTCTCAATCCGCAGACCTCAATCCTGAGCCCTGAGCCCTAAACGATGGCAGCCCAGCCGTTCTACTAAACCCTGAACCCTAAACCCTTCAATCATTTCATATTGTCCCCGCCCCCCCCCCCCCCCCGCCCCCCAAGCCCTAAACCCTCAACCCTAGACCCCTTACCCCAAACCCTAAACTCCAAACCCCAAACCGAAACCCTAAACTTCAACCCTGGACCCTTAAACCCAAAACCCTCGAGAACCTGAGGTCCTCCTAGCAACTGGTCGGGCCACTGGTCTAAGGGCAGTTTCATGGACCCTTAATATGGTCCCTTGGGGTTAAGGTTTAGGGTTTAGGTGTAGGGTTTAGGGTGTAAGGTTTAGGGTAGTTTAGGGTACCCTCAATATGTCCTTTAAAGGGGCCCCTAATTGTATATATGAGGGGTATATAAGGGGTACCCTTTGAAGGGTGCATACTAGGGGACCGTGGAACAACCCTAAGGCCCAGACCCAAAACCTCCTCAATGTCTCGCCCTCCAAGACCCTTACGAACATCAATCACTCAGCCTCAAACCTTCTCCTACATTTAGAACTCAACATTGGCAAAGTTAGGGTGCGCATGTGCTCCACATGCTGGCACTAACTCAAGCATGCATGTCTGGTGTTTAGGGTTTAGGGTTTAGGGTTTATGGTTTAATTAGGGTTCAACAGTAGGTTTTTAGGGACCAGGCTTTGCTACGCAATGCTGTCAAGAATGGCGCTTCTTGCAAGCTCGTTCCTTGCAAGCTCAACTCACATAGGGCCTGCGAGATATTGGCTCCAGTGCTGAGCTTTCCTTGAATACGGCTGTTCATGTACGAACTGCGACCTCCAGCCATGATCTGGATCCTAAGCGTTTTCTTTGCGGTGTGCATGGCTGATGAGAGAGCCCTGCAAGAAGACGCTGAGTGTGCAGCCAGCGCTGACTGCTCCTTGAATGCCCTTCAGATGGGCAGCGCAGCGAAGACTTCGGATGAAGAGGACAGCACGGAAAATGATATTGACGAGGAAGGAGTCTCCAGTCACACCAACTCTTCTATTCCTCTGCATGGTTACTTGGTAGCCCAGTGGTACCCTTCACCCTTTTTTTGTTCTGGGTTCCCTTATAGAATAAGCTAGCCAAAAAAGGGTGCCCCTATTATAAGTCACTGGGCTACCAAGGCTACCACCACTGGGCCACAACCACCATGTATGGCGATGCTCCGCACGCAGCCTGCGGGGGGATTAACACCAAGGAGTTGACTGCTGGCACTCGGTACCACAGTGTCGCCTCAGCCCAGGCGATGTGGAAGGACTGCAACAGGCCTGGTTGTTGGTGCGGACAGTCAGGCGGAGGTCATGGTACCACTGGCATGGGCTGCCTCTCCTGTGCGACTCGAGTGCCACCGTCATTGCTTTTTTGCAGTCGGATCCCTAGGAAAGTCCGGTAAGAATCAGGGCGCCCGTTTTATGATTACATTCCTAAATTCCTGCACCCTAAACCCTAAACCCTAAACCCTAAACCCTAAACCCTAAACCCTAAACCCTAAACCCTAAACCCTAAACCCTAAACCCTAAACCCTAAACCCTAAACCCTAAAACGAAACCGCCCTTCCTGTACTTGTAAACCATTCAGCAAAAGGGGCGAGGCTTCAGAACGTAGGGTTTCGGGTTTAGGGGTTATGGGGTTTAGGGGCGTGGGGCAGAGGCCTCAGAAAACACTCACAGGCCTTTAGGGTAAACCCTAAACCCTAAACCCTAAACCCTAAACCCTAGACCCTAGACCCTAGACCCTAAACCCTAAACCCTAAACCCTAAACCCTCACCTAGGCCAAGGGCCGTTTCTTATGCTCCGCCTATGGCGTGGTTGGCCACCACGTGGGCTTGGCAGAGGTGAGCAGCGAGGCCCAAGAATCGACGAGCTGCCCATTTCGGATGCTGGGCTTAGGGTTTAGGGTTTAGGGTTTAGGGTTTAGGGTTTAGGGTTTAGGGTTTAGGGTTTAGGGTTTAGGGTTTAGGGTTTAAGGCGGTTCAGAGACCTTCGTGTGCTTTGCTCTTGTGGTTTCCGGGTTCCTGCCTTGGCCTTTACTCAATAGCAATTGGGGTTGTATAAAAACCCCGCGCATTCGATTTATGAAAGGAGTTGCCCGAAGCGTTTGGGGCAGTGCCCCTGACTCGTAAAACGATAATCAAGAAAAAACGATAACGTTATAAAACGGCCTGATTGCTGCATCGCGGCAGGCAGGCGACACCAGTACTAAGCTTGTACTACAAATCAACGAAAATCCAGCCGGCTCACAGGACGGCGGTTCCAGTACTAAGCTTGTACTACAAATCAACGAAAATCCCGACGGCTCACGCGGACGGCGGTTCCAGTACTAAGCTTGTACTACAAATCAATGAAAATCCCGCCGGCTCACGGGGACGGCGGTTCCAGTACTAAGCTTGTACTACAAATCAATGAAAATCCCGCCGGCTCACGGGGACGGCGGTTCCAGTACAGTACTAAGCTTGTACTACAAATCAATGAAAATCCCGCCGGCTCACGGGGACGGCGGTTCCAGTACTAAGCTTGTACTACAAATCAACGAAAATCCCGCCGGCTCACGGGGACGGCGGTTCCAGTACTAAGCTTGTACTACAAATCAATGAAAATCCCGCCGGCTCACTAATTATTAAAAGTATATATTCTCCAAAAGTAGATTTGTTTGGTTCATTTGGGGTTGCAATTACTTGGTAGCCCAGTGGTACCCTTTACCCTTTTCTTCTGGGGTTCCCTTGTGCAGGAACCAACCCAAAAGGGCAGCCTTATAAAAAGATGGTTACTGGGCTACCATGGTTAACTTATAATTAGTGTTCTGAAGGGAAGAGGTTCATGAGGGGTGGGTACCTAGGGAACCTGAGGGAAGGTTAGGGGGCCTGAGGGAGCAGTTGGGAGTATATATTGGGGAACTTTGGGTTATACAGCCCATCTTTGAACCTCTCTCCCTTAAGAACCCAAAACCCTAAACCCTAAACCCTAAACACCCAGTACAATTAACAGCCTAGGTCGGAGGAGCTCCTCATCGTGGTGAGCGACATCTGCCCACATGCGCCAAATAAGGCCTGGTGCCCTGCCAGTCCCGGCCACAAGAATCTTACTTAGCCAATAGATGGTTTAGGGTTTAGGGTTTAGGGTTTAGGGCTTCTTAAGGTTTCCTGAGAACTGTAGGAGTTGTAGGGATACTAAAGCTTCCTCACTTTGTTGGGTTTGTAGGAACCCTAAACCCGAAACCCGAAACCCTAAACCCTAATCCCTAAACCCTGAACCCTAAACCCAAGGAATGCCTACGGCTCCTTCAACCATCTGGACTTCTCGAACTACCCCGACAGCATTCCGCACAACCCGTCGATTCCGAACCTGAACTTCGTCTTTTCGCGGATTGAGGACACTTTTTTACATTTTTTTGGTTTAGGGTTTAGGGTTTAGGGTCTAGGGTTTAGGGTTTTGGGTTTTGGGTTTTGGGATTAATACTATAAACCCCTATAGAACTGAAAGTGTACACTTTTTTGCGGGGCTTGTGAACTCAGCAACTAAGGTCTTTTCGCGGATTGAGTGCCCAGCAGACTTGAAGCAGAGATACCGATCGATGACTCGCTGCAAGTGAGCCCTAAACCCTGAACCCTAAACCCTAAACCCTAAACCGCAAAGAGCATCTTTCCCATGGGATGTTCCGCCTCATACGAACAGTCCTTAGTAGGAATTGTAATTTGGGGCACCATAATCCTTTTTCAGGAACATCCCAAATCTTCCCTGTCTCACGACTCTAGTGGCAAGTATCCCCACGGAAATAGGCCGGAAAATGTATGCCAAAGCGCATCGTGGGAACTGGTATCTCTCGCGTGAAAAACGGATACCCGTAGACCGTGAGGGTTTAGGGTTTAGGGTTTAGGGACCCCCCTCCCATGTTACTGGCAAGGCTTCGCGGTGGAAAGCGTCTTTCTCGTGAGCAGCAAATCCAAGCGAATGCAAAGGCAGCGATCCTACATGCTGGCTGAGGGAGTTTGGATGTGGATCTTACGCTCAAGGAGGAAAGGCTTCTTCAATGAGTTCCTCACAGCAATGGCCAATGGTCCAAGGTGATGAGATTTCCCGCCTTGAAAGCGCGACGGTAGCGGAATGCGGGCTTGCGAGCCTTTTTCAAGTGGTTCACCACCTTCCAGATCCACATTCTGGCTGAGGCTTTCCCCAAGAGCCCAAGAGTAATTGGAACAACATTGGGTGGGCAAGCAGCAAGAGAACTTCTTCTTGTCGAGCTCTTGAAGTCTTCCTTTGCAATGTTTCTTTCTGGGTCATGCGGCGGAGCTGTGCAACGGCCTCTGGTAACAACAAGGGAGCTCCAGCGCAAAAGCAGTGTCGCTTAGTTGTGGAGGCCAGCAACTTTGCCTACTCCTGTTCTATATACACAGGCATTGTGACGAGCTCGACGTGTCTTGAGTGACACTCAAGGGCCTTTCGAGAAAGAGTCGCTGGTGCCTAGCAGGTAAGCTACAAGACTAGGGTTCGGGTTTCCGAAGGCAGGAATTAGGCCTCTCTCCTTCCGAAACAACACAAACTTCGAAGGCTAACCAAAAAGGGTACCCATGCTACTCCTGTTTAGGGTTTAGGGTTTAGGGTTTAGGGTTTAGAGTTTAGGGCTACTCCTAGGCTACTCGTGGGTCACCCTAAACCTCAAACCCTTGTTATTCCCAGGTTATAGTCTTGGCTCTAGTGTTAGTCTACTTCCAACTAGGGGAAAGCCTCCTCTACTTCTTGCTAGGAAGTGGGCTTCTTTGTCGACGTTGCGGTTTGGTTTTAGGGTTTAGGGTTTAGGGTTTAGGGTTTAGGAATTAGGGTTTAGGGTTTAGGGTTTGGGGCTGTTGGCAAAACTTGTGTCGGGTGAAATCCTCGAAACCCCGTGCCCGAACGGCGAGGAGCTGAAATTCTATGGTACGGATGGTGGGCGGCTGCAGACATTCCCGACACTTGCTTTGGGTTGTAGGGTAGGGCCTATTTACACTACCCCCTCTCCAAGGACCACTTCTTTGCGTTTGGGGAGGGGGGGGGTGGGGGTGTACACCCACACCCCACATCCTAAACCCTATAAACCCCAAACCCAATAAACCTTCAGCACCCTGAACCAACTTTTTGCTTTCTGTTTTGGGCGGGGGCCGGGTTCTGTACTTCGGGTCGTTCTGAACTTGTCGGTTTCGAGTCGCCGGAAATAGGTTTGGGCTTCAGCTTAAGCTTTTTGTCCAAGTCCACCTCTGCAACCTTCCGTCTGGCATTGAGACTTGGTTCTTGGTTCTTGGGTTTGGGGGTCGTGGGTCCCGAACCTGAACTTTTAAACCCTAGACCCTAAACCCTAAACCCGAAACCCTAAACCCGAAACCCTAAACCCGAAACCCTAAACCCTAAACCCTAAACCCTGAACCAGAACTTGAGGCCTGCAAGCCTCGTGGGCCCACGATTGTTTGTCTCAGCCCACGTATCTGTGCACATGCACAGCCGCTTCCGGTGTCTCAGAGGGTTTAGGGCTTAGGGTTTAGGGTTTAGGGTTTAGGGCAAGGCTTGCAGGCCCTAAAGCATTATAGATCCTGAAACCTACAAGGACCCTAAGCCATCTTAGGCCCTCAACTCCTAAACCCTCCCTAAGCCCTACGCCCCAAACCCTAAACCCCGAAACCTAAACCCCTAAACCGCAAAAACCTTAACCCGGAACCCCTAAACACCCCCAAAACCCCAAACTCTGCAAAGGGTCGGAGATATGGGGATGCCCAAACCCTAAACCCTAAACCCTAAAGCCTAAACCCTAAACCCTAAACCCTAAACCCTAAACCCTAAACCCTAACTCTAAACCCTAAACCCTAAACCCTAAACCCTAAACCCTAAACGATCGGAGTGCCGAGGAAGAAGGGCTCGGCGCAGAGCACGCACCCTGGGGACTATGGCGCCGGCAAGGCCCCTTGAGGGGTGTTTAGGAGCCTTTTGGGGAGGGGGGGCGGGGGTTTAGGGTTTGGGGTTTAGGGTTTACGGTTTGCGGTTTAGGGTTTAGGGTTTAGGGTTTTGGGTTTTGGGTTTTGGGTTTAGGGTTTAGGGTTTAGGCGGTTAGGGTCTAGGGTGCGGGGGTTTAGCAGTTTTGAAGGTTAAAAGTTTGCGAGTTCAGGGCTGGGGGTGTGGGAGTTTGGGTTGGGGTGTAGGAGTTTACGTATTATGGAGTTCAGGAGTTTAGGAGTTTCAGGACAGAAGGAGTTCTGAGTCTGGGGGTTGGGGTTTCACAGTTGAGGGCCCTGAGGTTTCAGAGTTGAGGGCTTCAACTCGACTTCTCCGCTGGAACTTCCAGCCCTTTCCCCCTTTTTTGGGGGGGCTTCCTAAACCCTAAACCCTAGTCCCCAAACCCTAAACCCTAATTAAGAGGGAGCCCTTTCATCGCGCCGGGCGAGCGAGGCGTTTAACGAGATCAGCAACAACGACCACTCGTACTATTGCTCTGCGCCGCACCATCCTACAGGCCTGCCACGTATACTTGGAAGCCCTTAGGGTTAGGGATTAGGGTTTAGGGTTTAGGGTTTAGGGTTTAGGGTGTGCTCGGAAGCCCTTCTGACTTAGTTAGAAGGGTTAGTAAGGTGGGATTACGGGGATTATCATAGGGTTTTTAGGAGATACTACGTAGAATTACCAAGCCAAAGCTTCGCTCAGGGTTTAGGATTAGCGTTTTCGGGTTTAGCACCCTAAACCCTAAGCCCCAAACCCTAAACCCTAAACCCTAGACCCTCTTTAGGTGTTTAGGGTTTAGGAATCTGTAGTTCTGCTGTTCTGGAGGGTTCCGCAGGGTACAGCCGGGTTTAGGGTTCACTTTGGCGGTTGGTGTTGAGAGTTACCCTAAACCCTAAACCCTAAGCCCTAAACCCTAAACCGAGATGCCCTAGCTCATGGTTGGAACCCGTGAAGCTGCCATGGTTTGTAGCGCAGTTTTTGGTCACGGAGCACCGGAAATTATAAACCCTAAGCCCGAAACCTAAGCCCAAAAATAGCCAAGTTGCGCCTATGAGTCCAGAAGCCCTGCAAACCCTACCTAGCCAAGAACGCCAAAAGATCTGAGCGGAGAAGCCCATGAACCCCAACCTGTAGCCAGTCGAGCGAAATAGGAGTTCTGCAGCAGAAGCTGGGTTCAAGGTTTAGGGTTTAGGGTTTGGGGTTTAGGGTTTAAGGTTTAGGGTTTAGGGTTTAGCCCTGAAACCGTGCTCCCGAAGAACCCGACGAACTTCCTACAATTCCTCAGAACGTGCACTGCTCCTAAACTGCAAGACCCTAAACCCTAAACCCTGAACCCTAAACCCTAAACCCTACTTGGAACCTCTTTTGACTTAAAGTAAATCTACTTGGCATCCCCTAGCAACCCGATTATCATCCCCAGAACCCGCCTTACTATCCCTGCTTGCTACGTCCAAAGGGCTTCCAAGCAGATCCTAAACCCTGAACCCTGAACCCTGAACCCTGAACCCTAAACCCTAAACCCTAAACCCTAAACCCTAGACCCTAAACTACTCCGAAAGGCTGGCTGGAGTACACATTCGACAAGCCAGTCGGCTTGGGCTCCTACCGGATCGAACGCGGCTTGGCTCCAAGGGCACTTACATGGTCGGTTGTTTAGGGTTTAGGGTTTAGGGTTTAGGGTTCAGGGTTTAGGGTTTAGGTCGTTTTGCACTACATGGCTCTGTGCCCTTTGAATACTAGGGACCCTTGCAACTACCTTAAGATTGAAGGCTTTGAGGGGGTGTTCCGGCAATAAGTGCTGCAGTTGCAATTGTTGTGGCTTTGGGTGCAGTTCTTTTGTTGTTTGTGCTCCGTTTTTTTTGTTTTAGGGTTTAGGGTTTAGGGTTTAGGGTTTAGGGTTTAGGGTTTAGGGTTTAGGGTTTAGGGTTTCCAGGGTTTGATGTTTTAGGTTTGCCGCAACAGCCTAGACCTAAAATAAGCGGCTCTACTAGATTTAGGGTGGCGCTTCCGGGTTTAGCCGCCTTATGCCTTGTTCCCAACCCCCTCGGAGGGTTTAGGGTTTAGGGTTTAGGGTTTAGGGTTTAGGGTTTAGGGTTTAGGGTTTAGGGTTTAGGGTTTAGGGTTGCCTCCCCCCCACTCCTTCCTCGAGAACTGGTACCATGTTCCAACCCCAACGAGCCTTCAGGGCCCCAAGATGGGTTTTACGCACAGGGCCGAAGGATGAGTTTAGAGTTTAGGGTTTGGGGTTTATAGGGTTTAGGGTTCAGAATTAGGGTTTAGGGTTTAAGGCTCAGGGTTCAGGGTTAGGGCTCAGGGTTCCGGGTTGGGGCTTCAGGGTTTCGTGTTTAGGGTTCCGGGCTTGTTTTGCTATCGCGTGCTGATTCTGATTGCAACCCTAAACCCTAAACCCTAATCCCTAAACCCTAAACCCTCAACCCTAGGCCCTAAATCCTAAACCCTGCATGTGTTTTGCTATCGCGTGCTCCTCACCCGGGCAGCAGAGGTCTCAACTGGCACGGCAACCAATTTTCGCCGGCCCCTGGGAATCCAAGCTTCGCTTGGGACCTTCGTAATTTCGCGTATAGGGTTTAGGGTATAGGGTTTAGGGTTTAGGGTTTAGGGTTTAGGATC